TCTTACCAGCACTTCTTTCATATGCCTGGGCTTTATGGAAAATGACTGCTTCAAAATCAAAACCACACACACAACATAAAGATTACCTGGTTCTTACTAAAACTGAAGAGTTTCTATGAAACATAGAGTAAGATTTATTAAACTTTCATTTCATTTGTGAAGTTACAACACAGAGCATTTTCAGGCCATTTTACAGTATAAACACCATCTTAAAATTGAACAAGCATAAAATTCACAGTACTGGGTTATTGTGTACACCGACTACAACTTCCTTAAAACACAGTTTATCCTTTTTGAAAACATAAAACGGTTGTTCATTTAAGCAGTTTTCTCAATACTGGGTTATCCTGTGGGTTGACTGTATTGTTGGAAACATGGACAAAAACTAAATCTTTGACATACAGCTTGTCCAACTGAACTTAAAACTCCAATAGATGTAAAAAAAAATCTGACTTTTCTACATATATTAAAATATTCTTGAAGTGTAGGAGGGACACAGAAAAATACATTTGAAAGACAGAGAGCACTGAGGTATAACTGGAGTATTAATTGTCTGACATAAGCTGGTTTGCTTTAAAACAACAACAAAAAAAGAGGTAAAAATCACGCTTATGTTTGTAATTGGGCTGTCAAGACAATATCCCAGAGAAACTGCCTGGAAAATGTTCTAATTATACTCTTAGGTTCATTACCTGAACACATCCAGCCACTCACCCACACACAGGCTTATTTTCTACAGGCAAGATTTTTCAGAGAGCTACTGTATGTTACTATATAAAAGAAAGTGCTGGACAGAAATAGACAATGCGTCCTTTATGTGAAACGGCGTTTGAACGACAAATGAATACACGTGTATTTGAAAAGACGCTTGAATTCGAGGCAGCTTTTTTTAATCTCACTTTGTTGACGTGGTAAAAAATAGAGAACGGCTTTAAGATTTTTCTCAGAAAGTATTTATTGGTTTTTAATGCTGCTGCCAGAGGGAAATTTCTGTCCAGAACACTATAAAGAGAAGAAAGATTATATTTAGAGGAGCTCTCTCTATGATGGCACTGTGAAGAAATTAAGCAAGACTGAGGGTTATTTACAACAGATAAAAAAACAAACTAATCTGACGGGAATGTTTTTTTTTCCTCAATATAAAATCTCTAATCGTGGAAAAAATAAAAAGAAAGATGGGTTGATTTGTTTGAGTAAAACTGGCAAAGAACAAGTGCAATTTGTTTCAAGGTGTGTCTACACAGTAAAGATCACAGACTTGCAGATAACATGCCTTGATCTTGTTGAAGCCTTGGGCTCCCGCTTTGTAGTTACACATTTTAACTCTGCGCCAGCCGCACAAGCCTCTCTAGTGATCTGGAGTGGAGCTGCTAACCCTCCACTCCGTCTGCCTGCATGTTTTGGTTTTTTTTTAAGGCCAGGCCATGCCGTGCCTCTCATGCTTAGGGTAAGTGGGGTCGCCCAACTGAGGTGATGATATCACACGGGAAAAGGTTCACCCCCGATCAACTTACAAGTGCAAAGGGTTCAAGTTCAGCAAACAAAACAACCAGCCGTTTCTTGAAAACCATAAAGCCAAACCACAATGACAGTCACTCTGACTTTAGAAAAAACACAAAGTTAAATCAACTTATGCCACAATTCAAAACATCAACCATTAAAAAACTTGACTGATGAGATGGGACTAAAGGTTTCTGGCATTAGGTTGCAGAAAATATGGAATTCTGTTTGATACATTAGCTTTGTTTCTCGACTTTATGAAAATAGTGCAATGCTTTCATCAAAACTGTTTACCTTCTGGTAATTTGTATTTTGTTGTGCTGTGAGAGATCCAGTTTCTTATGAATCAGCAGTAAAAACATTTGATAGATTAGTAACATAAAAAGGTAAGATATTGTCATTAGGAGTGTGTTAAAACAAGTTCTAGTAAATGTCAGCGACAGCTGGTAATGGGCTGCAAAATATGTTTGTGTTTGAGATTCAACATTCTGTGACTGGCTTTTGCAGCGTGTAGAGATGACATTAAAGGTACAGTATGAAAAAAAGGTTTTGCATATTTCATAAAACTATTACTATGTAGTGGCAGTATGACATGACACAGGTGATCTGTGGAAACATGAAATTCTCTACCTTCTCACAGTGCTATTTTTAGAAATACTCAGCTCTGTCAGAAACAACCAATCAGAGTAAGGAGGAGGGCCTTAGCGTTGCCAATCACTCTCATGTACCTGCCGGTAACAGTTCTGGGTTTTTCATTATAGTTCAGTTTTACTTCTTTGTTGTTGTTTTTTTTTTTTGTACAATTTAGTTAGTTTTAATTAGTTTTCAGAATTTTGCTAGTTTTTATTAGTTAAATGTTGCTTAGTTTCAGTTTAGTTTATATTAGTTATGGTAGTAGTTTTAGTTTTTTCAGACTTTGGTCAATTTTTAGGTGCAGAATTGAAAAAGGTCAAAATATCAAGTTGCAATTATCTGTACATCGATAAAGTAATGGATACTTAAAAGAAATGTTTTCAATAATTGCTCAACAGCAATAATTACTGACTCTGGTTTTTTATCCCAACTTTTGCTGTCGCCATTTTGCCGACCAGCATTAAGAGCTGTAATTTGCAGACAGCTAATATTAACTGCATATGTGGGGGCTGGGGGGTCTTATTTCATATTATTATATTATTTTGAAAGGCGAATAAGTAGTAATAAAAACAAAAACAAAGGATATTTTTGTCTATAACTCGTACGTTTTAGTTTGATAAATGCGCAATATAATTCCAGTTAGTTTCCCTCATTAATGATCATTTTTATTTATTTCAGTTGACAAAAATGGTTTCTCAGTTTCAGTTGTGGTTATGCTGCTGGGTTCAGTCAGCCATGATAACCTCGGAGGCCAGAAAAGTTTGAAACGCACTTGAGGTTGACCTTCCAGAGGGCCTTTCACTGTCTGCGGTTCCAAAATAATCCTCGCCTTGTCAAACGTCACTCAAGCTCAAACTGTTGCACAAAGTTACCATCCAGCTTAGCTTTCCTCTAATTTCACAAAACAAACAAAACACAGAGAGACTTGTGGAAATTGGTATGTTAGCCAGCAAATCTGTAAGAACTGCATGGAGATCAAGCAGTGGTGAAAGTAAGTAGTGTGTCGGGATAAGAAACCGTCACACACACGCACGCACAAGCGCGCACGCACGCACGCACACACACACACACACACACACACACACACACACACACACACACCTTGGTTGAGGCTTCAATTCAGGACGATGCGGGGTGAAGCAAAGTGCAGAGATTACGGGGCTCCAATCCGAGCCGTTTATCTTGGACTTCTAATGAAACTGACCTTCTATGAATACCCCTAATTATGTGAAATGATCCTTTTAATGAAGTCTTCAATCACAGTCACAGATCCCCCAGCTGACAGAGCTGCGGCTGTTATGTAAAAATCGTCGTTCGCATGAAGAGAGGGGGAGGTCAATTTTTCTTTTATTATTGTGACAAATGCAAAATAGTTCCTCTAAATTGACTGCATTTTTGTCTCATTTCCACAACAAATTAACTGAAGAGCGAGCTTTTCAAGCAGATTAAGAGGCGTTTGTAGAAGGTAATGAACATGTCACAACATCGGGTCGAGCAGAGCCATGATGGTATAGTTGGCTTTCTTTCTAATCGGCGTTTCGGAAGATCTCGGCTTAGTTTTTAAGCGACAGATCAGAGATGGCGTTGACTCCATGATGCAAACGGTTTTGGGTGTTGAATTTTGGGTTTCCAGACATTTTTAAAGGCATGAAAACAAAGCAGAGAAGGTGGGGGTTGTTGGAGTTGGCGATGGAGCGTTACCTTGCTTCACTGCATCCTTGGGAAAGCAAGACAAATATATACATAAAGAGCAGAAGCTATGGCTGCAAAATTAGCAAATTGCTTTTATCTGAAATCAAAGAGACTTCTACAAATCTATTAAACGCCACCTTTTGTTTTCTCTTTTTTTTATGGTTTTGTTTTGTTTTAAATAATGCATCATACTGGGACCAAAGCCAGCTTTTCCAGCAAAATGTAGACTCTTTGTTTTGAACAAATATAATTAGAGTTATTTTTAATGTACTTGCTGCGATGCTGAAGCTAATTTGTCTTTGGTAAAGCGCAGTCCTTGATGAGCTATTCCCCGAGGCTGAGAGGCCCAGTTTGGATTTTTGAACCAGCATAAAATCCTTGAATTAAGGAAAACTCAAGGGCCCTCTACTTTCCAGAGATCGGCGAAGGCTGGGCATGTTGAGATGTGAATAGATGTCTCAGTGGCATCCGCCGCTCCATTCTGAGCAACAGGACAGGGTTTTTATTATTCCGCTCCATTAAGTTTTGTTCTATTAAAAAAAAAAGTCCCAAACACGATCTATTGTTTTGTAATATTTCTGCCCAAATTACATGTCTCTTTATTTCTATAGAATCTGCTTTTTAAATAGTTTACTGAAAGCCAGTTGGAGCTCTGCTTTTCATGTGAAAGAGGGACAACTACCAAGTTTTTTATTTTTATAATTTTTAAAATCATCTTTTTGCATACTGCAGAGAGAACTGGGAAAATAAAAGTGCACAAAAGAGAAACAGAGAAGGAAAGAGAGCGAGAAAGCAAGCAAGCAAAAGAAAGACAGAACGAATGATGGAGTGAGAGAGCAAGAAAGAAAGACAGATAGAACAAAAGACAGAAAGAAAGAATGAGTAAGGAAGCAAGCAAGAAAGAGAAAGACAGAAAGAACAAAAAAAAGATCAAAACAAACCAGTTTCTCGGTTGGTGACTGCATGCCGTTTTTATGACCTTTTTTGTGACTTTATGATGTAAAACACTGCTTGCTTTAATGTGTTTTATGCAAATATTTGTGATTGATTGACACCAAAGTGTTTTGAATCAAATTGAATGTCTTCAGTAACATCTTAAAGACTCTACATACGCCTAAGTTCTGATTGCAATAATCCAGATCCAGGTTTGTGCAGGAGCTCAGTGAGCGTCTTACCTTCGGTTGAACTTCTGGACCGGCAGTGTACGGAGCCAAGCTTGGGGGAACATCTGTGATGTAGGTTTTCCTGGGGCCTGGCGGTTGGTACACCGGGCCAGGGGCCGGGTCGGGCCTCCTGGAGCTAACTCCGCCCAGCTGTGGCCCCCCGGGGTACTGCTGCTCCTGATATGCCATGGGGGAGAACCCGGGTTGTGGCGGCCCGTACGCAAAGTCGGGACCTCTGGGCTGCGCGGGCATGTACTGCACCTGAGCGGGGCCGCGGATAGGCTGCTGGCCGTAATGGTGACCGGCCGGCGCTTGGTGCTGGGGGCCGGGCTGGGCCGGCCTCACCTGGACGTTGAAGGTGGGCTGGCTCGGGGTCGACGCTGTGGTGTAGGAGGCCGGGATGGGCTGAGGAGACATGTTGCCTTGAGGCCTGGCAACGGGGCTGACGGGGGGAGGCGGCACGGACGAGACGCCGCCTTGAGGTTGAGGTTTGGGCATCGTCTTCTTGGTGGCAGTCAGAGGCGGCTGGTTGGGGATGACCATGCGCTTGTAACCCGTCACCGGAGCATTGGGGGTAGAGCCGGCCGAGGAGCCGGCGTTCTGAGAAACAGGAGAAAAGGTTTGATTCAAAACTCGGAACAAAGTGACTCACTTTCAAAACATGTCTGTATTAAGCTCTTAACCTCGGCCCTTCTTGTTTTCAGATTCTAAGCGCTCGAGGAGAGAGCTGGACTATTCGCAGCTTTCTACTCCAACATGCTTCGATCCAACACTCAGTATTTTGAAATTGTTGCGTTTCCATCAACTCGGAAATGCAATTAAAATGCGAATAAGTTTGATCACGTAATAAGTCACAAAGACAGCAGCCTTCATCCTCCAACCACTTCCTGTTGCCTTCTTCAGGAAGTGAAGGTGTTATTATTTTAATGATTCAATAATAATACTTAAAGATGATTAAATAGGCCTGCCATGTAACCCCTGTGATTACTTCATTTAAGGTCAACTTACATTTAAAAAAAATAGCTTGAGACATTTTAAGGCCTGGATTTTAGATACCTGAATTGAAAACTTTCTAAGAGTTTGTAAGGACACCCTGTGTTAGAAATGTTAAAAACTCCAAATAGATTTACTCTCATTTCAGAATTGTCCACTACCTTGTGCTGTAATGTACAACATCCCATCTTAAAAAAAGAGAAAAGTTTAACAAGTTTGAATACAGCGAGCCACTGTACTTTATGATTCATTCGGCCGCTTTGTGCTGTTGAGGCTTCCTGGACAGCAGAAAAACTACCCCCTCCATAGCTCCCTATAATCTATGGATAATAAAGCGAGAAGGGAGTTAGGAGGGGGAAAAAAATTGCTTGGCAAAGGATACTATGACAGCCGACTGGCAGTGGCAAACGACACTTCTGCTGACACCAGCTGCTTGTACGCAGGAGCTGTTAAATCACTGAAATTTGTGGCGCTGATGTTCCTGGGAAGAGGTGGCAGTAAAGCAGCAAGCCTCTGCTGAGATCCTGAATGACTGCAGCATTTCGATCTCGTGTCCAACAAAATATAGAAGCTTAAAAAAAAACGCGGGCAAGCAGCAGAGAGCTTCACTGAGATATTCGAGACTCGTACGGCGAGCCTCTCTCTCTGACGGTGTTTTTTTGTTCACCAGCGACGCATATTGGTGTCAGACGTTCAACCATTCTAAAAAAGGTCTATCATTAACCTTGGATGGCCTTATTAGGTTACCGCCTGAAGCCAAAACTCAGAGTCAATTAGTAAATCTGCAGCACCACAAGAACAGAAGAAAAAAGAAAAAAATTGAACACTTGTAGCCTTGTCTTCCAAAATGGGGCAATTGCTTCCCCCTCAAAGGTGATCAAAGCTGTGAAGACAAGTCACAAATAGGGAGGTTTTCCTCTAGCTGACAAAAAAAAAAAAGAAATCAGTGAAAACACATCACTCTGCTATCCTCCTCATGCTCAGGGATAAAGAAAATTCCAAGTTTTGGTAAAACACATCAACTTTGTGAAAATCCTATCTAATCTAAGCCCCAAAGGAACCGATGGAAAAAAAGCTCCAGAAAATTTATTTATTTTTTTGCGCTCTCGCTCTGATTTCTGCCTCACTGATTAGCGCTGATGTTTATTTAAAAAGTGTGTCTGTCTGCATATGTATGGAAACGGCTCCACTATGCCCTTTAGGAAGAGATATTACTTAATTTAAATGTTTCATGGCTTTTAAATACTTGAGATTATTCATTTATCTTTGAGGCCTTAGAACCTACAGTAACATTTAGTTTGCACGGAGCAGGCAATGCAAATCGGCCCCCTCAAAACGATTACGCTGTCATGGTGGGTTTTCCACAAATTACATTAAGAGAATAGATTCATCCTTTTCTGGGGGAGAAGTGGGGAGGGAAGCGAGGGGGGTCTGGATGAAATTAATCAAATGTTTTAATATCGGAGCAGAAAATGTCTCTGTAGTGGAAAATCCTGCCAAATGAACTGATTCTACAGTTTGTCTTGGATTGGTCAGCTTCAGTGAGATCAAAGGCAGAGGGTATCAGGCCTAAACAAGATAAGTAATGAGTCAGAGAAAATAGATGTAGATTATTATGCTATGTAATAGAGTATTATTAGAAAGCCGGCCAGTGGACCAGTGGCGGTCCCGCCTCGCAACTTATGGGCATTCAAAGATCTGCTGCCGACATGTCAGATAACGCAGTAAGCGTTTGACGGTCCAGTGGAGTCTACAACCTCCTTCTGACAATGTTCTGAAATAAACAAGCACTCACGGACCTACCACGCTGTTCTTTTACGTCATAAGAGGTGATTCGTCCAGATCACGGCGATGTGCGCTCTGACAGGGTCATGTTGAGATTACAGAACCAAGGGGTGTCGCTCATAACTTGCAGAAATCAATATGTGAAGTGTGATGGACTCGACACACGGGCAGTGATGGATGACAGCGAGCAGCGAAGGTTTTCCGCCATTTGGGGTGAACCCAACACACTGGATACGATGGCGACAGAAGCGACGCATCAAAAGTTGAAAATTTCCTTATGTCGCAAGTTTGCATGTTTGAGCTCAGAATTTTGCCGATTGGAGGGCAACTGGTTGTCACCTCATCACAAGGAGCAGAGAGCAACGTTGCCTTCCTTGGGTAAAGACAGTGAGACTTGGGAAAATTACAGAAGGTGCTGTGCAGCAGAGTTGCCTCATGCAGCAGAGTTATAGAGCTCCATCCTGTTATCCACATCAGATTCTGAGCAACATATTTTTCATATCAGACAGACTTTGGAAGATCCTGCTGTGCCTCTGCTCTCTGTGCTCAAAATGGACTCCTGCAGCTTCTTCGTTTTTTAGCATGTCTCTAAGTCACGGTCGCTCCACGATCTCGTATCACCGCTTTATGGTTACTACCTCCTAACATGGTTCAGGGCTTTAATAATCTTGCTCACCGAAACCTAACAAGTGCCGCTGCTTCGTTAATTTTGTTTTTAAATGTGAAATTCATATAAAAAAATTTTTTCCAAATATGAAATTTTTTATGAAGCACACATGCCTGTGTTCTTCAGTTAAAAGTATATAACAAAATACCTTGAAGAGTTTGAGTGTTCATTGAAGGTTTGTCAATTGTGTGTAATCTGTTGCTATAAGCCAATAGTAGTTGAGGTAATTCACGCTTTTGCTAAAATTTAAAAAATATAGTAAAAAAATCAAAACTAAAACTAGGATAAAACCAGAGCAGGAAGCAGTTATGATGGGGGTCGGGCACCAGCCACATCCTTCCCAAAACCCTGATTTCTCTGTGCAAATGTTGCATCTCCCCCAGGTCACGTTACCAGCTTATTGCCCTCAAGCAAAACACAACCACACCCAGAACAGCAGATGGTGACCTGCAGCTCACCACGAACAAGAAATGACTTTTTTCATGCAGGACTTTTCTTAAGTTTTGAGATTTACTAATTATATTTCCTTTATGTGGCTTCAACTGCTCATGAAATATGCAAATTTCTAGGCCATTCATTCCACAGAAAGTCTTTTAATCTTCCGTCTCCGTCTTCCTCCTGAAGACGGGTGGGGCTCAGGTATTATGATAAAGTTCGTTGGATAAGTTTGATATCATTATTAATGTGAAATTCTAAAGCAACACACGTTGCCTCTGGTACTCTACTCAAAGTTTCAGGAGAGGTTGTCAAATTCTTTCTAGTTTAGGTGAAGAAGAATTAAAAAATAAAAATGAAAGGTCACATCATGGCTTCTTGGTCCACTGGATGCATGGAGGCATTTCCTTACCTGTGCAGGTTTCAGCCACAAAATATTACCAGCATGATTCCAATGTAATGTTTCTGTATCTGTATGGAAAAAGACATTGTGTGCAGTTGTTGCAACAAGCAAATCTTTTGTAGAAATCCTGCATTATGTTGTTTTATCTATCCTCTCTTCATCAGACAGTTAAACCAATTCTAAAATCACATAGTTGCTCAATAATGCATCAAGAATCGGTTTTAGGACAAAATAAGTTACACCTTTACAGATCGCATTTAAAATCACTTTCTCTTTTGCAGATGCTGCTACTGAAACAAAGCTCTCTCTACTTTCTTTTATTCACACTTCTTTTTTTTTCTTTATTTTTACCTGAATTAGATTTGAATAAAACAATAACAAAATCCCATTACATTTGCACTTAAGGGTGAAAGGTCTGTTTTGATGCAGCTTCTGTATATTAGTGGCAGGTTCAGCATACGTGCAGCGTCGGTGTGACTCCCTGCTGTTTCTCCAGCTACACACGCGCGCACACACACATTAATTTCCCAAAAGTTTTCTCCAACACCTTCATAAAAGTTAACCCTCACTCCATACCATAATTCAAACTGACTTAGCAAACAACTTAAGTGTGAAATTTCACAGAGATCCTCAAGAAAGCCTTTCGACACATTAAAAAAGATTAGGAGAGACTATACAAGCCTTGAAGGGGGGCTGAGTAAAACTGTTAACTTTGCACTTCAAACCACACGGGTGAGGGATTTTTTTTTTCTCCCCCCCACCCCCACCTCCTCTTTTTGTCTTTTTCTTTTTTTATCCAGCGAGCTCGGGAAAAACCCCTAAAGTAGAAGAAGTTCTGGTGGCATCTTTTCAGACTCGTCTAAGGCCTTGGATATTCCTCTCTGCAAGGTTTCTCCTGATTCTCATTCAGCTGCTGTCGACGGCCGCCTCTGCCGTCCATTTGCATCTGCCCGTTTCAGCGCTCACAACGACGACCGTGGAGGAGGACAGCGAGGCGCTCCCCTATCGCGCGTCCGCAGTCGGGCCGATCGTCTCGATGAGTGGCGGCCGCGTTAAACGAGCGCCGAGCCGTACCGCGATCACAAAACACGGGTGTATCGGTCCTCTGCCTAAAATAGTTCCAGATAAAGCCAATTAAAAGATGATTAAACATTGTGTTGGGAAACCTCACAAGACCCGCAGCTGTTTTCTACTATCTCTTTAATTGCTGATAGTGAATTTCTTTTCCGTTTTGGTAATCTGTCTGCATATCTGCTGTTGTTCAGCTACTATTAAGTGACACCCTCAAACGTTTCCATGCACATTCATGAATCAGAG